TAACGAAAATACTTAAATTTTGTTGATTTTTTATCTTATTTCACATACATAATTTTTTGAAAATATATATTAGGAAATATGTCCTAATAGAAAATATATATTAGGACATGATAGTGCCGCGTGGGACTTGTTTTGTTTTTTATTTTTTGGGTTGTTCGTTTTTTGATCAATTTTTAATTGTTTTGGGTTTGAGTTCGTTAAACTTTTAGGATTTTTTCCACTATTCTTGGCTTTAAACAATAAGCCCAGAAGAAAAAAAAACATAAAACATTAAAACTAAAAAAACGATATGATAATAACCTAAACGAAAAAACTAAAATACATAACACAGCTACGTGGTTTGAACCCAAACGTTTGCAGACTTAATTAGATGCCTTATATCACTCGGCTAAAATGTATTCATTGTTCATAGTCATTTAAAAGAAAAACTATAGGTTTTTAAAAATTAAACACGCAGAATCGAAAAACAGCTGACGTGGACACCGTGAAAAACCTTGAAAGTGTACAATTATATATAATATTGATGGCAAGGGTAAAATTAATATCATTTAGTTTATAAGTAAATAGAATAAATAAACATTATTCATAACAACAAAATATAAACAATCTTAAGTTTATACAATATCATTTTAAATTTAAATAAAAGTCAATTCATTTTATATATTTAAGTTTTCAAATTTTGATAGTGATTATTTTCTACCAACATTTTGAATATATTAAATATAAATCACATAATTAAATAGTACAGTAATTATTGTGTAAGTTATTTATACCAAAAATAAAATGAGGGTTGTTGTTAAAAAAACTAGAAAATCTATATTTTGTAAAAAAAAAAACAAATTGTTCATTATTAGTATTACTTATGAAACTCTTACTTCATTAACTATAATGATTTTGTCTATCATTTTTTTTTTGTATTTAATTTAACATTCTATTTCTTTTGTTTTTAGCTATAAATTTAGTTATACAATATATTATATATATAAAAAATATGGCTGAAAATTTTGTTTAAGAGACTAGCCGTACGTAGCACGGTCAAAAGATCTGGTTAAAAATAACAAGAAATAAGGGATTTAAGAGACCCATAGAAAATTGATTCTACCACAAAGTGGGGCGGGGCAATAGAGCAATTATTTTGACCTAGCGATGGGTCTAATTAGGGGTGGACACAAGCAAAATATTTGCCATTTTTTGCTTACTTGGTACTTGGTTTGACTTGTTCGGGTAATAAAATTCTGGATTTTACTTGGTTTGTTAAAAACGAGTATTTTCATTTTCAAATACTTGCTAAAAAATAGTATATTTGCAAGTACTTACTATGTTTTACTATTTATTATTTATGAACTATTTATAAAATATTATATCATTATTTGTAAGTTTTTTAATAAGAATTTATTAATTTTACCTACTTAAATCTTACATATGAGTTTAAGAAAAAAAGTTAGTTATAATTCTAATATACATAATTTTTTAAATTTTATGTGTTTTAAGTTGATATATGATAAATATAAAATTTTAAAAAAACTCTAAAATATTTCTATGATATCATTTTTAATTAATTTATCGTATAAACAAGTAAGTTGATTATAATTTAGTGATTTTTTATCTAAAAGTAAAAAATAATAATAAATCTCTATAATATTATTTGAGAAGTCACTTTCTTAGGTGTCGCACTCACGTTAACTTTCACGCTGGTTGATTACTATGATACCCTTAATGAATTAAAAATACAATTAAATATTATTTATTTTTAAACAATTTCCAAATAACAATATAAAATAAAAAGGAAACATTTATCAATTTTACAAAACTATTTAAAAACGAAAATATAAATATATAATATGATTTAATAAAAAAGGAAAGTTCACAAAATAGTAATTTTTACATAAAATTACTATTTTGTGAACTTTCCTTTTTTATTAAATCATATTATATATTTATATTATTTATTTTTTAAAAATTTCCAAATAACAATATAAAATAAAAAGGAAACATTTATAAAATTTACAAAACTATTTAAAAACGAAAATATAAGTATATAATATGGTTTAATAAAAAAGAAAAGTTCACAAAATAGTAATATTTAATTTAAATATATTTTGAATAGCATAAAATATATCTTTGAAGTAATAAAAAACTTTATCTATATCTTCTCAGATAAGAAAAAATATTTGTATATAATGTGATTTCATAAAACACTTTCACACAAAAATATTGCTATTAGAAAAAGAAATATATTTTCTTTAAAAAAATAATTTTAAACAATAAAATATATATATTTTCAAAATATTATTTTGTATATATCTATCTATTTTATTAGATGATTACATAAAATAATCAACTAACATAAACTGATATATGTTTAATTGACATTTTTTTTTTATAATTAGTATTATTGAAATTATTTTTTAGTATATTTATTTGACTATAATATCTTACAATTACAGTAAACATATAAATTCTATTTTACTTTTATAGTATAATTTCTCAAAAACAATCATTTTTACTGACTATTTTAAGAGATATTAAAAATAAAAATAAAAATAAATTTAATAATAAACATCTTTTGATCAAGTAACTACAATTATTTAAAATATCATAATACTATATAATTTAACGAGGTAGATATATTATATTTTAATAGTTAAAATTATTAATTTTAAGAAAAAAGATTCTAATTTACTTAAGTATTTTGATTATGGTTATATTAAGTTTCACAAACATAAAAACAGAAAATAACTTAATATAACCATAGTCAAAATACTTAACCAAATCAGAATTCTTATTTTTAAAATTAGTTAAAATAAATTTCAGTTTTACCATCCAATCAATATAAAGCATGAATTTATTTAGAATTTATAAAATAATTTAATTATTGTAAATATTGATATGTGTTCATAAGCTTCTAAAAATTCATTAGTTACTTATGTATGTAATTTAGAATCAGACACTTTAGTTTTTATTTTTTTTTCTTCTAAGCACAAAAAAATCTTAAGTTATATATAATCTTAGTAAATATACTTATATATCTAAGATAACAACCAGCATAAATTCAAATAAGACAATTAATCAAAAATTTAATATTTTAAAATATAAAAGATTATAGTTGAATTCAGAGCAAATAGATAGAATCCAATATTTCTAAATGATAACTAAATCGACCGTAAAAACAATAAAACATACTAAATATAACATATCTAAAATTATATATATAATTAAAGTAATATAGTATTATAATATAAATTAGACATACAAACTATAAATTAATTTAAAAATTAAAGTAAATATCAATTAATTATTATTGTATGTTTATTTTATAAATATTCATACCCGTGCATGAGCACGGGAAAATCACCTAGTTAAATAATAAGTCACGAGTAACAAGCCAATAGCGTCAAATAGTTATTTTTATTTTAGTACTTGATATTTATCTTATACTTGCAAGTAATTGAAATAAATGTCTTGATACTCAACTTAAACAATACGAGTATCCCCTATATATTAATTGAGAAACATTTGAAAAGATGTAACCTCAAGTTTGTAATAATTAAAAAGTAACCTTGCTTAGTTGTCAATCAATTAGCATACCAATTAAACTGACGTGGCAGCTTTAGGTTCAATTGAAATTTGCTAGGGAAACAATAATTACAGACGCATGTAACGCATGTAACCGAGTTTACATTAATATATATCCCACGCATCAAACCGAGTTTACATTATTTTCTTTCCTTAAATAAAATCTACGGAATTACCATAAATGACTAATATATATATATATATGACACTTAATGATTGATCCCCTAGATATAATTACTATTTTATTTTCTTTCCATAAATAAAACGTACGGAATTACCATAAATGACTAATATATATATATATATATATATATATGACACTTAATGATTCTAATAATAAATATTTGATAACAGTTTATATATCCTCCATCATGTTTCTTTAATTTTACATTATTAAAATAAATTAAACAATCAAATTAGCTATAAAATTAAATTTTAGATTTTTTCGTATAGGTTATATTTTGAATTTTAAAAAATGAGAATAAATAACTAAACTATTAAAATTATTATGTTAAAAATTAATGATCAATAGTTTAAAATTTTTATTATAAAAAGATATACATGATTTTAAAA